GCGAGAGCTCCATTCATTTGAACGAGAGACTTCAAAAATTCATAGCGAGTAAACTAGAGTGGACCAAAAACATTCACCCCCCTCAGCAATGACACACATGTGGAACGGAGCTTTGGGCCAGGAGCCAACTTTTGGACCATCCTGTTTTCGAGAGGTCTGCCAATGCTATATTTTATATTCATTGGCTAATTCTTATTCCGGGTCCACCCCCATCGGCCCGGGGTGGTATTGCAGGGACCGGCCCCCACTGAGCGGGCCGAATTTGGCTCATGGGCCTTAGTTTGGACATGCCTGATCTACTTTATTGATCTGCCGTAGGAGAAATTCAGGTGTCCAGCAGCAGAAACACATCCATACAAAACAAATATGTAATTCTTAAAAGCTACTAACAGTAGTAATAAATTAAAGTAAGGACAGGCAACAAGGTCCTGATGTGAATTGACAGCGTGGAAATAGGAAAGGGTCAAGATCCGACCAGTTGTAAAGTCCACTAATTATTCAATAAAGGACTTTGGTTGAAATTAATATATCACTTGGCAACGTTGCTATGTAAGTGGAGGTTGTTTACCAGCAGTAAAGTAAATGGTTTATGGTTGTAAACAAAGTGTAGCTATAGTTACAGGCAAATGGAACTGACTAAGCACAGAACCAAACCTGAACTACAATGAAAAATAATGATCAAATATGAGGTAATAATTGCTTGAATTGAGTACATTCTGACTGTCTCAAAATAAGATCTGCAAATCACACAATTAAAGCACTTTAGTGTAATTGATGTAATTAAAGTATACACAATATAACGCAATAACGGCTTTGTACAGTCCCATAAATATGCATATATCTATTATTTTTATTTATCTGTGTTGTAAATATCCTATACTTGAACTATTGCACTACTGGTTAGATGCTGAACTGCATTTGTAGCAATGAAGATAAATTAACAATAACTCTATACTAAATCAAATCAAATCTCTAATTTTAGCATAAAAAATTACCAAGAAAAACATCTCTAACTTTAGAAAAATTAAGCAAGAATTACATACATCATCTTAGACTTTAGCGTAATAATAAGTAGGTATAAAGTCCATCTTTAGCATAATAAATAATATATAGTTGTATTTGTACATCTATGTTAGCAGCATGAGGGTCTGGACAAAGTGACAATCTAATCTAATCTGCAGAGATGAAAGGCATACGTATTAACAGCATACATGTAGGCTAAAAATGTAAACACGTGCACAGAGGACACAAAAGCAGGTATTACACACAGCAGCTGCTCGATCTAAATAAAATCATGACAATTATTTAGATTTTGCTCTAATTAGAAGTGGACTGTGAGTGACTAAGCTCTGTGCCACTGAGAATGAATGAGTTGGATTGACGTCTCAGAACTGGCACCTGCGTTTGCCATGTGCTCCTGTGACGTCCGAGGGGATTCATACATGAGGGGAAAGCAAATTATATTTTTAACATTCGACCAATTATAGAAAATGTGATAATGGGAACAAGCCATTCACGGTGGCTCGCGTGACAAGGTAGTACGCATGTTTTTGGAAATGATTAATAAACGTCACTCAGTATTGAAATATCGAAATGAATATGTATTATTTTTAGGTTGCAGGTATGATAGATGCATAGATCTGCTTGGACACAAGAATGACCTCCAGATCTGGTGCTGAAACTAAGGATGTAAAAAACTATGAATTTTCATGACCGACCACCGAGCCTCATTAACCGGTTGAAACCGGTTAACCGCGTAGTTTAAAATAGTCCACGTTCTTTGAAATAACAGCCATTTCGAGCCCCGTACTTTTCATAAGTGCAGCTCTGCGTTCTACTGGATCAGAGTTGAGACAGCGGCGCCCAAACCCGCAACAGCTCCGGCACCTTTGCGCACAGAGAACTGCTTTTTTAATCTTCCCATTCTGCTGTGCTGCGGGTTAATACCAAAACTTTCTAGCAGCAAACGACGGCTCGTTCACATGGCCAGAGCAGCGAGTGACGAGCCGCGTCTCACAGGTCTTCACAAAAGTTTAAATACAAGTGATGTGTGTGGAGCTGATCCCGAGGACCATAAACACAAACATGTTCCATGTGGTTTGACTGAAGCCGCGTATTTGCGCGAATCCTTTGGGCTCCGTGACACAGAGGAGCGCGACAGACCGGTATGTGTGTGTGTATGTGTGTGTGTGTGTATGTGTGTATGTGTGTGTGTATGTATATGTGTGTGTGTGTAAATGTAAGCTCCAATGTAGTTCTGACCCGCGCCAGTGTGCAACTTTGACGGTAACAGAGGGGAGAGATGATGCGTGTGGGTGTTACGTATGGAGAGGGGGAAAGTGTGTGTGTGTGTGTGTGTGTGTGCGCGCGCGCGCGTGCGTGTGCGTGTGTGCATATGTGGCTCGTGCGGCGTGAGAGTTGTTCCGGAGTTTATAATACATGGGCGCACACAGCTAGATACAGACCCGCTCGTCACACCGTGCAAATAGGGCTTAAAATAGCGTTATTAAGAGACCTCCCCTCTCCCCTTTTTCTCTTTTTTAACCGACAGCTTTGACCGGTTAACGCTGTGACGGTCAACCACCGGTTAACCGGTCGCCGATTTACATCCCTAGCTGAAACCAGTAATAAACTCAGAAGGATTCTGTGTACATGTCCTCAGTGTGTGACCAAACCATGTGTTGAAAGTCACAAATGAATCAATACAAAAAGTAGTATTTGAAACCAGTGAGAAAACTACATAGACGTTCAACTTTTTCTTCTGCAGTTTTAGGATGGCTTTGATCTTCATCGGACCTAGTTCAACCTTATCTACAAGCAGTATTTTAACCTCTTATTGCCAAAAAGAGCCTTTTATCTTCACTGTGGCATCAAAATTAGTACATCAGTATATAATTAGAAAGACTACAGAGTAAACATTCACAATGTAAATAAATAAATAAAGATTTTTTTATCTTTTGCTATGGCCTTGTTTAGACGGAGACGCCGCGGAGACGTTGCAAAGAAATCAGCAAAAAGGACCATCCTCCGTATTTCGAAGTAAACAATGTAATTCTAACACACGGCCAGTAGTGGGCAGTGGAACTTTACAACACAAAACACCTACGACCCCCCCAGCAGTACAATCACTTCTTCAACAACATCCTCCTCAGGCCACGTTAAAGACATGAAACAGCCAACATCATTCTGCATTTAACAGCAGCTGCAAAAATGGAAATTGATATTACCTCCAGAGTGTTCTGTTCCACTCTGGACGCCGTTTCTCAACGCCAGCATTTTCACCTGAAACACTGTCTTTGTGTAAACGAAAGGCCAATCCAATTAATACACAACACTATTGGTTTACTGTTGCAGCGTCGTGGTGTAAACAGCACAAATCAATGGTATCTGGCCGACCAATCGAGTGTGGTGACATGTGGGTGACATCCTGGCTGATATATGAGATAAGATAAAAATGTAGAAGATAAGAAACTTTATTGATCTCACAATGGAGCAATTTACAAGGGGGTCTCTCTGTTGGTAGACCCTCTCTTTGACGACACCATGTAACAACAGGCCAGAGCCCCTCTCCACCAGGTGTCCTGAAATGTCTCCACTAAGGGACAAATAAAGGTTTGTCTTATTTAATAGATATGGTTTCTTTTATTTTGTCTCTGGGTGCACCTTGTAATTGTTAGGGTCATTAAAAGATCCTATTCTAAATGTAATTTCTTTATACCTAATATATTAAGCAACAATTAGACTATTGTTATAACACACACCTAACCTAACCATATAACATTAACATGATCTACGTGTCCGGGTCAGAGAAAAGGCAAAGTTGTGAAGTTGAAGGTTCAAAAGTTCAAATCCGGTAACACAAGACTGTGGCGGTGATCCGGTCTGAACCCTGTCTCACACCTTCAGGTCACACACTCATGAGAACATTTCTGCCTCTCATCAACGCGGCTTAAAAATATACGACCAACACACAACATGCAGCAGTCCGTTCCAATGGAGCACTACAAAGTTACCAAGACATGGACAATGTTCTCCACAGACACAACTTCAAATGTTTATTATATTTAATTTGATACCCTTTTCCTATCCAGGAAATCCTACTTTGTTTTTCTCTATCAGCTGTCATGAGCTGTTGACTATCCAAGGGTGGCTCATGTATGTACTTATAAAAATGTACTTTTGTTTACAATGTTGCAGATTTTTGTCTGCGTTCAATAGCCTGAGAATTATGGTATTAATGCAATGGTAATAATAGTTTACAGAAAATGGCAAACTGAATCTCAGTTTTTCCACCAAGCTGATCCTGGTTCTGGTCAATTCCCATTTCCGAACCGCCATTTGGTTATTTGCTTTTGTGTTCCTTAGTATTGATTGAAATGCAGCCAAAACCGTTAGATGAGGAGCTAGTGGATGCTAATTGCTGCTAGTAAACAACGTATTGCTAGGCTAACAGGCAATGGTGGAAAACTGAACTGACAGAGCTCTGAACCAGTACTAACCCAGAGCCAACCTAGAGCTAGCCCAGAACTAGCCCAAAACTAGCTCGAAATGACCTCAAAAGGATGTCCGAACCAGCCTGGTTGTACCACACCTTAGTACAAATTTTATTTCGTACTAAGGTCTGGATTTGCTCCATTGAGCTCGGTGAACAGGTGGGAGGGGTTAACTCCTTTTGCAGATTGAAACGATTGGATCTGAGTTTACCGTGACATGTGTAATGCGCGCGAGTGTTTTGTTAGCATTTAGCCTAGCTTTAGCCATCTCCTTTGCTGCTAACGGAGCCCGTGGAGTGTAGCGCCACAATCTTGACCAGCGATTACATTTTCTAAACATTCCTCTTGCTCCTGCTTCAATTTCTTGATGATGATTGAGCGGAGTGTACGGATGGCTACGGATGGCTATGGCCAGGCTATGTCCGAACTAGCACAGAACTAGTCCAGAACCAATAAGGTACTAGTGACCTCCCTCTTGAACCGGGTCTCTCTCAGTTCTGTTCTCACCTTAATGCTCGGCTCAGTTTGTCGTAGTTCATCTGGGGCTTGCACTTGCGCGCCCCCCACAGCCGGGCCACCTCGTCGGGGTCTTTGATGACGAACTCTCCGTAGTCTCCCTGCCACGCAATCACCTCGTGGTACTCCTCCTTCCTCAGCAGCTCCAGGATGAAGTGCCAGAGCTGGATCTGCCTGGACCCAGGACTGGACTCCGGCTTGTAGGCCCAATCCGGGAACGCAAACCCTGGACACAAGCAACAACCGGAATTAAACATTTCATCCAAAAGCAATAAGAAAAAAGGAGTCCATAAGAAGTCATTATGTCTCGCACACAAAACACAAATATCGGATGACGGAATAAAGCCGGGAGAATAATAATAATGCATCGATTTTATATAGCGCTTTTTTGGACACTCAAAAGACGCTTTACATGTCATCATTCATTCACTCCATACACGGTGGTGATAAACTACTACTGTAGTCACAGCAGCCCTGGGGCACACTGACAGAAGCGAGACAACCAGTCTGTGCCATCGGCCCCTCCAACCACCACCAACACACACACACCAGACTCATTCTAGGCAATGGGGGTAAAGTGTCTTGCCTAAGGACACAACGGCAGTTTAGCACTTTACAGCCACCTCACTGTGGCTGGTGTTCCCAGAGGTTGAGTGTCTTGCCAAGGACACAACGGCAGCAGACAGTGGGAGTCGATGGTGAAGGTCGGGCTCGAACCCACGGCCAATGCTCTACCAACTGAGCTACTGTAGCAGGGGTACGTGACTTTCTATGTAATAAAATCCATCCAACTCTCAAAACAGTTGGATGGATCCCTTTCTGACAGGTGTGATAAATGTGCATACATTTAAAATAGGGGGAATCTGAATGGACTGGAGGATTTTATCTTTACAGTCCTTAATGTATAGAGATTTATGATTTAATTTCTTGTTTCTTTGCTTGAGTTGCCTTGTTTATGTAGTGTGCTATACAAATAAACTTGCCTTTACTGCTGCTCTTATACTGCCTTTGCTTGTCACATGATGAACACATTTTGTGACCTGTTCTTAAATGTGCTGTAGGTACACAATGTACTAACTTATACTATTCTTGTAGTTTACATTAACACTTATTTATACGGTTAGGGACAGCACCTCAAAACTAACTTTGTAGCCAAAACTGGTCACATTTACAAAAATACCAATTCATGTGCATTGTCTATGTTCAAATAAATACATTGTTAAAAGTTCCCCCATATAAATAAAACATTTATCTGCATTTTAAAGATTTCTAAACTTTTCCCACGCCTGTTGTGTATCAAAAACTTGTCACGCTATCAGCATCAAAGCGAGAGATAGACCACAGTTTTAGCAGATTACAAGAGCCTTGAGATACGAGGAGACAAAACACACGGCTTGATTTTATAAGCACTATCGCGGAATAATAACTCCAACCCGCTCTCGCCATTACAGTTAAAAGTGCGGAGCTGTGGGTGGCAGTAAAAGACTCAACAACAGCGTTTTAAAACAAGGCCGAATGACACATAACACAGGCAGCATTAGGACCAGATGTGAGGCTGGGAAACATATGGGCCCCATGCAACAATGAGCTATTCTCTGTTTATGCAACTGTAAAGCAACACACAACGTGAAATACCAAGGTTACAATCATGTTCCCACACTCCAAACTCCTGTGTGTGCAAAGCGGCAACTGCCTCGAAAAAACCACCGCAGAAGAACGCCAAATTACATTTCTCAAAAATCACACAACAGCTGGGATTAACCATCTTTATTGGATCAAAATCCTCCAGAGAGGGAAATGTTAACTACGGCTGTCAAAAGTATTGAAAACCAGATACTATTTTCCAACAAAAAACAAAACTAGTCTTGAAAATATTGATACTGACAAAGCTAAATTGCATAAACAGGTAAGGATAGATATATACATAAATTAGATTTTTTTTAAACCTACCAAAAATTTACAAAATTGTATCAAAATGCGTGTAAAAATTTTCGGCTTGTTTCCCAAACATGGATTGTTTTAAGTTATCACTGTTTCACTGAAAATGTAAAAAAAAATTGTCGTAATCATCTGTAATTTTAGCATTGTAACAACACTACTGACGAATAAAGGAATATCTCATCTTTTCTTATGTTTGTTTTAAACTGTGGAAGGGCCGTTTGAGTCACTTGAGGCCTCAAATGAGAAATATTCTATTCTTTATAATCTGATAATTACTTAGTTAGTGATACTGGTTAGTGCTGGTTATCGGTAAGTGTTTGAAATAAATGACTATAACTAAAGGTAACTCGTTAAAAACTAGTGGTTATATGATTTTATATATCATGCTGATATACACGTGGCACAAAATAACAGACAAAAGGCGGAAAGTGAACGGCATCATAGTGACGTCATAATTCAATATCAAGTAACCAAGCTTAAAAAAAGAAAAGAAAAGGACAACAAAGGAAGAAAACTGTTCAGAAGACGATGGGCACTGGTTTTTCCACTAAAATCACTTGTACATAAAACAAAACTACACGTTAAATCCCTCCAGTTTCACTTCAAAATTCACAGAACAGTTATCACCATTCAGAATGCCCTCATACAACTGTGGTACAACAAAAGGAACAAGGGCTATCACTGGCATTCTCTCAGCATATGGGGCACCAGCAGACAGAAAAGACAAGTGAAAGAGCATGTAGAGGTCACATTTATTCAAACTTTTTCTTTTGGGGGAAAAACAATATCATTTATGGGAGGAAGAGTTAGGTGCCAGAGCTTTAAACTCCACCAGTGCAATATTATTAGACTATGAGGTGTATTGAGGCCAAGAATGTATGGCAAAGGTCCTGGGTACTTGTTTGAACAGCGGATTGGAGCAGTGGCTCATGGGAAAATGGGCTGATGATGTGGTGAGGTTGAGGGGTAAAGTCTGGACGCAGCGTGGATGAGATAACACCGCTGCTGTTGCATCAGACCAGAAGTGACGCCATTCTCACCTCAATCCATACAGTGCATACGTCTGGGAAAGATGTACAGCTAAAATCAACCTCTTCCTGAAAATGTGAGACGGGCTTATTCTCCAACAATGTTCAAATCGAGGTTAAAATAGTTCCGTTTAGCTGACTGCGGGATTTTCCATCTTGTTTGATTTATGATTGTACGCCTTGTATTGTCTTTTATCTTTTTGTTATGCACTTGTGGATGAGCTTGTTGGCTTGTATGAACCGTGCTATATAAATAAACTTGCCTTGCCTTAAAGAGGTATTTACGTGCACACATTACTGTCATAGTTTTTGTTTTGCAATTTAAAAGCTCAACGTTGTGTTTAGCGTGATTAATGCATGAGTAATTGAAATTCTGATGAACCCAAATACCATTGATCCCCCTGGTTCCTCTATCCACCACCACCCAGACAGTTTTTCATTTTGTTGACTGGCCTCTGCAGTCAAACAAATGCATTTTTAAACCGGCGCTAATTATCTTATTTCAATTTGCAAAAAATTCCGATAGATAATAGATAATAATACTTGGTCCAACAGTGGGGGCATTTCAGAAGTAAGAACCAGTCAAAACCAGCCGTTTAGGCAAATTTTTATTTTTTATTTTTAAAAGGTTACAACTCCAACCACAGAGCAACAAGTTTTATCATTGGAATCAACTCAGTTATTTATTTTCGAGTATTCAAATTTTTGGTTTACAATTGATCAGAAGTGCTTGAACAGCATCGCAAAGTCTCAAAGAAAATGTCTGCATGGCTAACGTCTGGATGGCTAACCCTTGTGGTCGGAGACGAGTTTCAGATAACTTTAATGTGACCACCTTTCCGCAGTCAGTCTCATTAAAAGGGGCAGAACACAGAGTGATATTGTCGGACAGAATGCGAAAGTGTGGGGACTTGCCTTTTTCATTACATAGTCTTGAATAAATACTGCCAATATACTAAAGGTTCTCCCTATATAGCCAAGAACAGCATGGCTATATTGAGATTACCAAATAGTTTTGTACAAGCTTTTGTAGTGTGTATTTTAAGCTCCATTTTGAAGTATAGGATTGGCACAGCAAATGAGACCTTAGATCCAAACCCTCACATTTCTCCAGTTCTTTGACATGGCTAAGTGATAGTAACGCTATTGTGTTTCCATGTCGGTGGAGGAGAAGGAAACAGCTTGAGGCAGTGTCATAAAAACTTCATAAAAGACAATAAGACATAAAAACAACCACACAAAAGCGCAGATGAGAGTTATAAAGCCGTGCACCTGGGCTGGAGAGGAGCGATGGCGCCCAGATGTGATCCTAGAAACCTTTTATGTAACGCGATTTTACTGCAGCCGATGTGTCACGGTTAGAGCCAATTTAATGTATGTGTAGAAAATATTAGGAACTGCTGTGGAACATCTGGAGGTTCTTTGATTCCCCGCAGAGACGGTCACAGTATCAAAAGAAGCAGGTGGAAGTGATTTGTGTAAGAAGTCCTTCCTTCAGGCAGGGAGTAGGAAGAAGGCACGTTGTTCTCACTGACCCAAAGTCCAAACAGGCGAGGAACGGTGGCGAGTGGAAGCAGAATGATGAGTTAGTCCAAAATCATAGGACTTGTTATCTATAAATCCTTGTTCTTCTATTTATCCTTTGTCGGGTCGCGGGGGCAGCAGTCCAAGCTGTTCTATTGACTTGTACAATTTGTTTCCACCTAAGGATCTTTGAACGACAGTTTCAACAACTTCAACTTTTAACAGTCATAAAACAAATCTGGTTTAAAAGGAGACAATAGTAAAAATTAAACCAGAATTAGAATAATTTTGAAAATGTGAATCTTGTTATCACTAATTCAAGAAAATTATGTCATATTACTACTGAAGAACACTTCAGTTTCACTTCAGTCTTGCACAAAAAGGTCCCGGTCCTGGTTCTACAGCCTCAGTCCTGGTTTTGAGTCGTTCCTTGCCTAAGGGCCTAAGGGCCTAAGGACAGCGATGATTAGAAATCACGTTACATTTTGCATACTTTTAAGAAAACCCTGTGAGTCACTATTGAAGTTTTATGCTGAGAGCTCATTTTTTACTTTTGGTCAGACAAATCTTATCTGAAGGTTTTTTACAACAACAACTACATTCATGTGAAATCTAGTGATAGAACCAAACTGTTTTTAGAGCTAGGAGCAAGATAGATTTTTAGTGGTTGGAAAGTTGGGTACCCCAGCTTTAAATCAATTAAAATCTCGTTATTTACAAAACTTCAAGTTCA